TATAAAACTAGTTAGTTGTTACATTTTTCATTTCCCTAGTTACATTTATCATTAAAGTATAAAACTAGTTAGTTGTTACATTTATCATTAAAGTATAAAACTAGTTAGTTGTTACATTTATCATTAAAGTATAAAACTAGTTAATTGTTTCATTTCCCTATTAGTTAATTTGTTAATTGTTACATTTATCTTAAAGTATAAAACTAGTTAATTGTTACATTTATCATTATAGTATAAAACTAGTTAATTGTTACATTTTTCATTTTCCTATTAGTTAATTTGTTAATTGTTACATTTATCATTAAAGTATAAAACTAGTTAATCGTTACATTTATCATTATAGTATAAAACTAGTTAATTGTTACATTTTAATAAATTACTTGTTATTTTAATGAACACACTTGTTATTTTAATAAACACACTCAAAGTATTCGAATTTCGTTACTCCTATTTTAATAAATTAAATACAATTGTTATTTTATTAAAGTACTTGGAAATTTTCTATAATTTTATTAGTCGCATTTTATTATTACTATTGTACTCATATTAAAATATGTGATATAATTTTATATTTGTTACATGTTAAAGATGGACCGTGGTAGACATTTTGTAGATATGGGAAATCTTCAACGCAACCGAAAGAAGGAGATTGCGATAACTCATCCTAGTTTACGCAAAGGCAAAGGGCAAGTCGGGTCTTCTGCTCAAAGTCGAGAAGATTTTGAAATGGAATCCCAACGGCGAGATGGGGATCGGATGTCCGACGAGTAACTACAACACCCGTTGGGGCAAAACGATGGCCGCTTTTTCCATCAACAAAATATCCTGGACTCCATTCACACCATTGACAAAGAAGAGCTCGAGAATGAGGATGCCGAGGAGGACGATGGGGAAGACGGCAGTCACGGCACCCCGGATGATGAGCAAGAGTTGGAGGACGAGGGTGGTTCATCCCAAATTGGTAAGAAATTTAAATTTTCTATTATAGAAAACAATTTTACAAAAAGGAAAGACAAAACAACCGAGAAACGGTACGCAACTTGCAATCATTGCAATAAGGAGGATAGCTTGGGAACTTCCGACGGATACGGGAGCCTCCGAAGGCATCGTAAGTCCGCGCACTTAGTGGAGTATGCAAAAATAGAGAAAGGCAAGGGGAAGCAAACACAAATATCGAGGTTTGCAAATGACCAACTGTCACGCCCCAGACCGCTATCCAAGCGCGTGTACAACCCGCCGTATAATTAAGTGACGTCACCCGCGAGTCTACCTCACTTAATTACACAAGGCGTTCGAGAAAATAATCCATCCATACTCAGTAGTAAACATACATAACAACATCACATTTAAGCAAGCCCTAGCTTCAACCTGAAAATGGTGGGGGCCCCCGAAGGGGTCAGTACAAGTACCGAGCGAGTAGCAGGCTAAATATAGAATAACTAGCGTTTCAAGTATAAGACCCAAACATAGGGTGATACTTAAATAAATAGTCTTTCCCCCAAGTTATGAAATACTTATTAGTATATATATATACTTGGAAAATATCCGATCCGTAGATCACCGTTATATTTGAGAAAACTAGTAATGGTCAATATTCTTGACCAAAAACCCCAACTCACTTATATACCTATGAGTGTATAGGACTCCTCCTTGTCCCTATTTCAATATCATAATCTATGAGTTTTGAGGATCATAATCTCTGGGTACTCCACCAATTTATGTTTTCGAGTGTTAAGGACTCATAAGTCCTAGGGTCCTCCACCAAGTTTGAGTGTTAAGGACTTTTAAGTCCTAGGGTCCTCCACCAAGTTTGAGTGTTAAGGACTTTTAAGTCCTAGGGTCCTCCACCAAGTTTGAGTGTTAAGGACTTTTAAGTCCTAGGGTCCTTCACCAAGTTTGAGTGTTAAGGACTTTTAAGTCCTAGGGTCCTCCACCAAGTTTGAGTGTTAAGGACTTTTAAGTCCTAGGGTCCTCCATCAAGTTTGAGTGTTAAGGACTTTTAAGTCCTAGGGTCCTCCACCAAGTTTGAGTGTTAAGTATTTTAAGTACTAGGGTCCTCCACCAAGTTTTGAGTGTTAAGTACTTTTAAGTACTAGGGTCCTCCACCAAGTTTGAGTGTTAAGCACTTTTAAGTCCTAGGGTCCTCCACCAAGTTTGAGTGTTAAGTACTTTTCAGTACTAGGGTCCTCCACCAAGTTTTGAGTGTTAAGTACTTTTAAGTACTAGGCTCCTCCATCAAAATATTTGCCTATGATCAACCTCCTATCAACCTAGATAGAGTCTATATCATACTTAGTCATTCATAACTAATTCAATACATAAAGCTTATGTATCACAATCCATGCAAAGCCATGCTATTATACAAATGTATAATTAACTAATATCAACCGATATTAATAAAATATAATGCCCTTTTGAAATAATATATGTTCCCAAACTTTAATTTAGAAGTCTTCGAAATCCATTTTCGGGCTGTTATCTAATAAATTGACGGTACCGGTAATTGGTCCTCTTTTGACCAATCGGTCAACTCCGGGCCTTTCCACGATCAAATGAAATATCAACCACCATATAAATATTATCTTGACCCATAAAAATAATTTATGTGATCTCGGGAATATCGGGCGGCCCCCGCTCCCGGTGTGAGTCCCACGTGCAATTTACTATTCACGCGAATGAAATAAAAATTTACAACTTCGTAAATTCATTAATCCTTTAATAAGGTTCAATACATTATTTACATAAAGGTAAATATATTTGGTGACGGTGTTACACCAACCTTATGGTAATTTCTCATACAATGATGCACAAAATTTGATTGGTATGGCTAACTTACTTGTTGAAGAAAATTTGCCTTATTTGTTTTCTGAAAGTCTTGCTTTTAAAGATTATGCACAAACTTGTTTAAATCCTCGATTTAGAGGTTATAGTCGCAAAACAGTGAAGAAATAAATTATAAGGCTTTATCGTGCGGAAAAGGCAAGATTGCAAAAAAAAATTGCAAACTTTGATGGGCGTGTTACTATTTGTTCTGACATGTGGGAGGATACTTATCATAATTTATATTATTTGGATCTGACTGCACATTATATTGATGATGATTGGAATATGCATAAACGTGTTCTTGCTTTTCGTGAACTTAATGATCGTCACACCGCTGAACATATTTATATGTTGAGTGAGCGTATTTTAATTGAGTATAATTTGTTTGATAAGGTGTTTGGTATAAGTTTTGATAATGCTACTAATAATACTGCTGCTATACCTAGATTGCGTGAATTGTGTGGTTCTAATAGTTTGATGGGCAGATTTTTTTATCAACGATGTGCATGTCATGTTATAAATTTATATGTGAAAGACGGTCTCAAAGCGTTAGGAGATGCTATGGAGATAGTCAAGGGGAGGATTAGACGTATTTGGGCTAATGGTCAACTTAGATTACAATGGAAAAATTATTTGACAGAAAGAGGTGTGAGATATGTTGCTTTTCCTAAAGATTTGTCTATTCGTTGGAATAGTACTTATAAATTAATTAAAGTTCTTCTTAGATATAAAGAACATTTTCCTGCTTTTTTAAAACAATATGATAACTATATTTTAAACTCCGCTCACATCGACACTTGCTAAAAGATTTGTAATGTTTTGATATATTTTAATAATGCAACTGAAACTTTTAGTCATGTTTATAAACCTACCTCAAACCAATTTATTCGTGAAGCTGTTAGTCTTGCCGATGCTTTTCAACAATTTTCGGATGCCGATTACGTGAGTTATTTTTTTGATTTTATGAAGGAAAAGTTTTTAAAATATTATGCACATATTCTGCATATTATGGTATTGCATTTGTCCTCGATCCTCGTTTTAGACTTGCTAATTTGGAAGAATGTTTCAAGTTCTATTATCTTGCTTTTTTTGGTCCAATGGCAATGTATGACGATAAAGCCTTAGATCCGAAAGTAGAATACAACGAGGTTAGTACTTTATTTTATGCCCTATTTAATGAGTTTCATGCACAATATGCCAATGCGCTCCCTCCCCCGACACAAACATCTTCATCTAAAGAAAAATCACTTTTTAAATCTGCATTTGACAATCTTATGAAAAAAAAAGTAAAACCGCTCACGCTACTGAACAAAGCACAGTTAATGAGATTGCTTTGTATTTAACATATGACGTTGATTTTGAAGAAAATGATGAATTTGACGTTCTAAAGTGGTGGAAGTCAAAAGAAAGAATATTCCCGATTTTAGCACGGATGGCTAAGCAAGTGCTATAAATGCCGGTTTCAACAGTTGTCATGGAACAAGAATTTAGTTCGGCCGGGAACATCCTAACGACATCTAGAACAAGTTTGAGAACAGGGTCTCTTGAGACGCTTATATGCTACCACGATTGGTTAAAGGCCATACGTAGAACTTAAGAAATTAGCATCACCTCCTCCCAAGACTTTATGGATGAATCAACCGAGAGTGGCCCTATCTATGTCAGAGATTCCAATTGATTAGTATTTTACAATTTATTATAAAATGTATTTCATGTTTTATTTTTCTCTCAATTCTTTGTTGTAATTTGTAAACTTGTAGTTCATATTTCAAATAAATATACGTTAATTTTTTTATATGTTGCACTTCTCAAATTAATTATTTGGTTACAACTTAGAAAGTTACAATTAATTATATTATTATTTATTAGAAAAAGTATTTCATATTGTATTTTTGTTCTCAATTCTCAAATGTAATTTCTATTTCACATAAATACACTTGAAGTTTGTTTTTAATATCCAAAAGATGTATAAATAAATAGGAAAGGGGAAAAAAAATTAGGCTCGACACGACCCGGCGGGTGGCCCGTCCCGGGAGCCAAGCGGGTGACCCGACCCGAACCGGCACCGGCTTTAGTACGGGCCGGGCTCGGGCCTGCTCCCAATTTTTCAAGGCCCGGCCCGGGCCCGACCCGGCCCGAGTCCAGGCCTAGCTAATACTTCTTATGTAAGCGAGATCTGTGACACGAGAAAGCATCATTTTAAAACAAATCAATTGCAAGGAAAGTTCTAACAGTTAAAATGACATGCATCATAAATTGTTAAGGACTACATGTTCTAATAATACCTCAGCTCTTGCACTATCAGGACGCAAATGGTCCAATTTGTGCACCCATGGAAGAGTTAATTAAAAAAGAAAGGCATACATATCTTTAAATCAAACATTTCTTTAATGAGATGCTAACACACATTTAATTCTTGTCTTCACCTGAACCACCATTTCTGTGCAGCAGATAATGGTGTGTTCATAAAAGGAGCATATCGGTGGACTAGAGGATTGATGAGTCTCCCAATCTTCGCCCATACACTTTGGTGGTAACCAGCTGTTGCAGGTGCATGGTACATGAGCTTTAGAAGCTGGCATCAACAAGAAAGACAAGTACCATTGTAAGAAATTTGTTATTTTTTGCAATAAAGTTCCACTTTTGGTCACATGATTTATATATTTCCCAATTTAATGCAGGACTTCGGATTTATTGACAATTTTGGTCCCATCCTCCCATTGATTGTCACTAGAGTGTAGGGCAGATGTCTAAAATGAGGGATGTTCATGTGCATCACAGCAGGGTTGTGATTGGTCAACTTTCTTGACATCTTCATCTTTTGACGAAATTGACATCTTCATCTTTTGACGAAATAAGTGCCAAGAATGCCCAGGGGGGGGGCTACACTCATAAACCAAAAGAGGCAAACTGAAAATGAGGGCTAAAAGGCGGGGGCTCACTTACTGTTGTGACTAATCAGAGTTATACACACCTATATCCGAGGTCGTGGGGTGAGTACACACTATATGAATAAAACCTTAAGATTCATTTTAAAGTTAAAATAAATTACTGCAAACTCCCAAAACAGGGTCACATTTGTAATACTGAAATTACAAATGAGTTTCTTTCTTTTGTACAAAGGGGGTAAAGGGTAATGCTCATGATGATACATATGGTGCCCCCATTAGACTGAGAAAGTTAGAAAACCACTCAATTGAAAATGCATTCCATCCTATATTTCCCCGTGACAACGCTTCTCACTCATAGATGCATTTTGCTTTTGGTTATTGGGGTAGTGTGAGACTGTGAGCAGCTACTAACTCATACATAGATTATCCTTGCGGTTGATAGGGTAGTGTTAATGGGACTAAGGCTTGGATGTTGTTGTTATAAGGGTAGTCTGAGTGGGGTGGGGGTGGGGTGTAGTATATCATAAACGATACACACCTGCCAATAAATGAATGTTTGTATTATATTGCGCTGCCACCTGCATTTTGATCAAGAAATAAATGCAATTATAAGGCTGATGGGAAACAAAAAGATAAGGTGAAAGGAGAGCAAATAACATTTAATTTTGGTCCCGCAACTTTTATGTCATTCCCACTTTCAGTCCATAAAGCACACATTTTCCACTTTTAGTCCGCGACTAAACATTTGGTCTTTCAGTACACTTAATCGGCCAATTTCTGTTTGAATTTGGGTGGGCAATTGACATGAAGGATTAAGAGTGGAAGAAAATCCATAATTGTTCGCCGAACGTGGAATAAGTGAAAGCCAAAGACAAAAGGTAGGAATGAACGTATACTCATGGGACCAGAAACAGCAAAGTTTTCTTAGAGAGCACAAAGGAAAATGCAATGTGCAAACAGAGGACTGACGAGAAAAGAGAGATAATTAGAAGGAACCCAAGTCCAATCTCAGCTTGTGAAGACAGTATCTTAAGTGAACTTGTATTTGACTCAACCCATACACAAGCCTCATCAAAGTACCTCCTGCAGACATGTCACGGAAAGAATAAATCAGAATCCCATTCTTCATTTAGATCACAAAAAATCAGGTGAAACACATAAGAAGAAGAAAACACTCTTTTCTTTTTCTTTTTGAAATTTCGCAAAAATATCACCATATGCGTCATCACCTTGATTCTAACTGTGTTTGGTAGGTGGCATATTATTTTCCATGAAACTTCATTGCCAAATAATAGTCTAAAATTAGTTTGAGAGTTGGATACTACAAGTTCGGCAGGGGGATTCAGCATAAACGTGTTAGGATCATTTATGTACAAAGCCTAGAGCAGCAATTTGTAGCTATTTCTGTCTCAATATAAGATGTAATGTATATTTTGGTTCTACTCAGAAAATGTTCCCACATAGTAATCTTCTCCAATCATATGAAAGAAAATTCTAACTTTTCATCTAAGGGAAACAATGCAGTTAAGTCTTGCCTGTACAAAGAGGTTCTGCTAAAGTTACGCCTTAGGAACTTTGCAACATGTTCAATGCATTGGCATAACATTGGAATCAAAGCAACTGCAACAGAATTGAGGAAGGATTATGTGATATTGCCCAATGAGGTGCATGTTAAAAGTCCAATTGAATGGGAGAATAATATAGCAGCAATGTAATGACACGTACATTTGAGGTAAAGATGTGAAGCGACAAATGTAAGACAGTAAACGAAACAGATAAAATCTTTTGTCACAATCACCGACTGTAACCACACTTGCAATGCCTGCATATTCCATGCCCTGGGTTTCTACAGGGAATACAAGAGTCATTCAGTAAGCCTGTTCTGGGCTAGACATGCATTACAATTGAAAACGAAGAAGGAAAATTTACCCCATGTTGTGCATACAGAGAACACAGTGCCGAAAATGTTGTTCCCATAAAGGAAAGTCTATATGCTCTATTTGCAAGATTTGTGGGACTAAGTGGAAAGATTGCAAGTGCTGCCATAACAACAACCTGCAGGATGTTTTTTATGTTAAACAATTGAGAGATCGAGAATCCCCTTGTCGCATAGTAATCCTTTTCAACCAGCATAATGACTTCATATTTCATGTATATAAAGACACAAGCCAACATATTATTTCATGCACATAATAAATGCTTTATGCTGTTTCTCATATCACAATAAACTGCTGCTACTTCAGAAGATTCAGAATGTAAAACTATGTGTGCAAGCTTCTACAGACCTCCAACTTACTTTGATAGTTAGCAACAGATACAAAGATTAAATGACACATCTACACCATAACTTAGATAAGAACCAAATGAAAAAGATTTTTTTTAAACAGTGGCAAAAGCTTGTCTCCTAATAGCTTACTGGCTGTAATAAATAAATCCATAATGCTATTACAGACTGGTATGGGCCCTGATGGCAATTATGCACAAAAGATGCTAGTACATGTAACCAATACAAATCATGACTTCTAACGAAGAATAAAACTCTTATCAAATAAAGACAAGATATTGGACAATTAAAGCAAAGTAGTGAACATGGCTTGCTCTACAACTCTGATTGGATCTCATTGTACCCTTAGCCTATTACTCCATTTAGTCTCTTACAGAAAAAGTATTGGTCAAGGAGGGAAAAGATGGACCACATGATGACTATCCAATGCATCCATTATGGTTAGCCCCCATGTCAAGTAGTGCTTGCTGTTGTACCTAGTGCTATGGGAACATTTAGGAAAGTTTTGTTCCTTAAATCGATCATATAAGCCTACTCTCTCAAGACCTTTTATTTCTCTTTGGGACCTAACACCAATTGCAACAATTCGATTTGTTATCTACCATTTTACCCTAACTAATACGGAATGAAAAATGGTGCAAATATTCCAGGTCATTTGACTCTGCATTATCAGATTCAATACATAGTTGTTAAATGCTTGTTTATCGGGGAAGATTGTGCCATACCCAAGCATTGACAGAAAATAGAATAGTTTGCTTGTCCCATCGCAAAGAAGTTGGATTTGAAGCTGCAGTTGTGGATGTCCTACCAGATGAGTCTAAAAACAAAACATAAAAATTACTGAAGAGAAAAACATAGAGTTATAGATTTTCTAACTTCTGAGACAAACCCAAAATCCTGCTCAAAGACATCACTGTAACTGAGAAACCGGGTAAAAACCTGAGCTTTGTGCTCGTGGCGGGGCATTTGGAGTTGATGAAGTTGTATGCTGAGCATGTGGTTTTGCCTGCTGAGAGGAACTGCTGGTAGCCATTGGCTCAACCACAAGTTGTGGATCCTGGAAAATCCAAAGAAGGAATGAAGTAAAGTACAAATAATCTCCTCCCAGTGATATATAAATATAGAATATAGCCAATTTAGCAACAAACATCCTGGAATCAAGAATTTATGTAGGGGGCAAACCAATGTGTGATTCTACTGACTAGCACGAGACCAATCATATGTATACTGGGAGTTACGATGCTAACGGTAACCAAACAACCAACAGACATTTATTTTGTGCTAGTTAGGGAAAAGTGAAAGGAAATTGGGTCCAAAGAAGTGTTTAAGTTGTCATTTTTTCTATTTTCTTTCGATAAATTCTGCACAAATGTTCAATAATAAGTTGAACATATAAGGACGTTAGGTCATCTCTGTGGTAGATTCAGTAAAAGAGTGCAGGTTCCTACCGCAAGTATGCATGCTATGTCAGCTCTAACTGCGAAATAATCCATATCTAATCGAATATGTACTATGCAGCATATAAAAGTTGGTCGGAATGGTTCTTTCTGAATCAATTACGGACAGAAATAGAAATATAATAATCAAAGACGAATAATTTAGAGCTTGAATAAACAAAATAGCTGGTAAATAGTTTTTTATTGGTGGGGGGGGGGGGGTTAAGAGTACGGACAATGAATCGCTGGTAAAACTTGCGCTTGAAGTGGTCGACAACGTCGGAGCGGGAGGCCATGTGGGGAGGGATGAGAACATTGGACCAGTAATCGGCCCACCTGGGATCGTTCTCGTAGTCGTACGCTGCCGCCGCTATCTTCTTCAGCTTCTGCGGATCATCTTCTCCTCCCATCTCCGCCGTCTTCAGCTGACCTTGGAAGAAAGTTGTGCCTTTCTAGTCTACAATCGCTCGATAAAGGCGTAGATTCTTCCTTGCAGCAGTCTTTCCCTACACGGAAAAGTGGCACCACTCGTAGCTCCTCAGCTCTGTTACAACTTCCCTTTTAGCTATTTGGGTGAAAGTGCATAGCTATTTGGTGGAAGTGCAGAGGTTATTGTGTAATTTAGAAGTTTGTCTGACTTCTGATTCTGAAATTACATCCACACACCCCATAATAGAATAGGGGTTTGGACTTTGGATGATACACCATTTTTTAAAGCTTTTTTTTTTCCTTTCCATTTTTTTTTTGGTTTTTCCTTTTCAAATTCACAGATTGTAATTGCTTCTTTTATCAGTAGGCTTTTTTATCAATATTATTACTGACTACCAAATTTCTTTTTTTGGATGTCTCAAGAAGTCTTGTCATTTCCATTTAAAGTAAGGAATATGTGTCTAAAATTAATTCTCTTTCCTCTGCACAAATTTCAACCACACAATTTTTGCTTATTGATCCACGTGAAAATCAACTTTGACCAACCTTTTTCGAGACAGAGGGAGTGCTATTTATGCCTTTCATGTAATGTATATATTGTACGCAATATTTATTACGGAGTATTATAACATTCCTTTTTAATACTCCGTAATAATTAGTCATTATTATCCATCCCAACAACCACCACAGCTAGCGCCAATGCCCCCATTAGTCACTAGACCACATTAGCGACTACATTGTCTAGTGACTTCATCGTCTAGTGACTTCATGCTCCTACTTTCTCGAGTGAGTGAGTGACTCATTTGCCAAGGGTTGTCCTGTGACTCCATCTCACCCCAACAACCACCACTCCCAGCAGCAAACCTGCTGCGCTAGATCTGGTGCTGGCTGCTTGAGATTTTCCATGTGTGGTTGATTATATTAGGCGTGGCTTGAGTTTTATTTGGGTTAGCTACGTGAGTTGTGTTTTTTTTTGTTTAGAGCATTAAATTTATTTAATCACTTTTTTATTCAAAATGAAAGTAGTCATATTTATGTCCATGCCAAGGCATTTTTTATGAATATTACTAATAATATTTTAAAAGACAAACAAGTGTCTTAAGAAATAATTTTGCAATAATATGACTAGTTATTAGTACTCTCGTGGGCTTAGTAGTAAAAGATGTTACCATGTGTAGACAAGGTAACCCAATCGAACCTTATTACCATGTAACTCTATCATAATATTAATGAAAATGGTTCGTATGGGAAATATTTTGATCTTTCCATGGAGAGATTGTTGACCATCAAAGGGCCACCAGCAATATATTTAAGGAATATATTGCATATGATTATATATTGCATAACTTTACATCAACCAAATAAACTCAATGGTAATAGTGATGAAACCAGCTGAGTTTATCACATCCCTCAACATCATTCCCTCTACTGTGAATCCACCATAGAAGGTTTGTCAATGAGTTCCCATCATCATATCCTTTCAACTCCCTTACCTTCCTCAACGCCCCCGCTTTATCATAAATACCTTCTAACGCATAGACAAACCCTTTCCACCCTTCTCCCACCCCATCCCTTGCTAGAGCAGGCAAAGTCCACTCCACAAGTTGCTTCACAAATCCAACATTTGAGAATAGAACTTCACTAATTGGCAATATAGGAAGAAGTTGTATCCCCAGCCTGCACTCTTTCCATTCGGGCGGAGCAAACCATAGACTGCTGTCTCTTTTGTTAGCCCACAGAACGCCCACCACGCGGTTCTCCCTTGTGAATTCTTTGGGGTATATGACATTGTCCTCACTCACATGCCACCAAGATTGGGCTGATTGAATCTCCAGTGCAGAAAGTGTGGATCCAACTGATACAAGATGGGTGTCCCCGTGAACCAGGCCTATCAAAGCTGCGGAATAGTAAGCATTTATTGCCTCGCTCGTGCTCTCCTGGTTTCGCCCATCTGCAAATTCGGTCAACCCTCCTGCCCAAGAATGGAGCTTCCACAAGTCAAAACACCTCACCCGCGGGTAATCTGAATTCTCTCGTCTCGTTAGATTCATAAAATCCGCAACAAGAGAGTATGCTTGCCCCTTGTACTTCCTCCCCCATGTGTAATCGAGCTTGGATAGCACTGCGATCGCGTAAATAAAATATCCGATGTGGAAATGGTGGTCGTTAAATATCCCGAACCCGAAATCAGCTCCTGAATCAGTTAAGCCTTGTTTAGTCACAAGCCCGCCCCATTTGGAATCGTAGAAGAACCCGTTTGCCCCGAAAGTCCCATCCAACCAAGGCTGAATTGTATCCTTCAAGAAATCCCGGATAGCCGGGATAACGTCACAGTGACATACCTCTTCTGCTATCAATGCTAGCCTTGCTGCTCTTGCAATCAGTTTACCATAAAAGTAAGATGATGACGTCTGTATATTTGCAGCATTAAGAGCAAGAACATCTGCTTCCAGTGCAGCGATTATCTCTGCCTGTGATTCCTCACTTATGCCTTTAACGGAGTGCCACGTCACTGAAATCGGGTCAGATTTCAGAACCCATGAGTCCCCAACAACACCTACTAGATCACCATCAATGCCGGTATACTTGATGTTATCCAAAACAGTTAATCCGCAATTAGTGTCGGAAAGAAGCCGGAGGTGAAGGGGATGTGCAAGCATGAGCAGATCTCCCCATCCCCTTTTATCCCACTTATACTCCAAGCAAAATGGCTTGGAAAAAACGGCTTCGCCTGCAATCGGATAACAAGAACTACACCGGTCGAGAATCGTTTCACAAACCAGGTCGGAGTTTGGCAACAGAGCAATCCTAATCACACCACGAAACTCACCCGATGTGATGGTGGAGCGACCGTTCCTGAAATTGATGGGCGAAGAGGCGTAGAGAAGCCAAGTCTGGTCGTTATTGAGCTTAATGGTGTGTTTGGTTTGAGATTCATTGGACGAACAATCTAGAATGGCGTGGATAGTTGAGATTGAGATCGCGACATTGCTGATCACTTCACAGGTCAAGAAGGGGCTTCCCCGGACAAGAAAGAACCGGAGATTTGCGGAGGGAAGGTCCAGCGTGAGACTGAGATCGTTGAACGACGAAACCACATGGGTCGCATTAGGGTCCGGATTGTTCAAAGCGGATACGGTGAGATCCGGATTGAAAATCTGGTAGGTGAAAGCAGGGTTCCGGAACTGAGACGGGTAGCAGAGAGCGAGCGAGGATTGGGATGACCGGACGAGATACGGGTGAATGTATTCGGGTTGATCGCCATTCTTGAGAACGAAGTTCTGGAAGAAGGAATTCGTGGGGAGAGGGCTGGAGAGAAGGTGGGGGGCGAAGAAACGGGACGGGTCAGGGAGAACGGTGGATTCCGCCGGCGGGAAGCCGAAAGGGCGATGGGATCGAGGCGGCGGATACATGGCGGCGGAGGCGGCGGCGGAGGGGGAGGAGGAGGAGATCTCAGGTTGAGTCAGAGACGGTTGCGGCGGTTGTTGAGATCGTCGTCGTCTCGGCGGAGGTGGTTTATAGAGGTGGGTGAATGACTTGGAGACAAGGGCCTTGACTTTTCTGGTTATCTTTTTCATGACCATGATTGAAGCGTAGCCGCGTGATCAAATTAGTTGACTGGTGACGGTGACGTCAAAATAAACGGAAAAATGATTTGGGGTTGGTGCTTACGTCAAGCATGTTGGCCAAACAGGTGCTTACAATATTTAGGGTTCGACCTAAATAAAAACAAAGAGAGGTAAGAGACAAAGCATTGCGTGGAGTAAGACTTCAATTCGGGAAAACCACAAATGGCGTACAAAAGTAATGAATATATTCGTACTTACGCTTCTTCTTGCTTAGCGTTGTCCCTAATTGCCCGTTTGATAAATTTATGAAGTTATATTTGGAATTACTTTAATATCTGATTCTCCTCGTTTATTAATAAACTAGCTTTCAAGCCTGTGCGATGCACGGGTAGTACATAATTTAGCTAACTATATATTTGATATTTTCGAAATCATATATAATTAATAAAAGTAATTCAAATTTATATGAAAAATATTTAAATTGGAATTCTACATAAGCATCTCAACTAAACATAATGGTTATGAACCCGATTTTAAAGAATTCATACAAAAGTTTCTTAATTAATTTCACATCCTCTATATTACTTCATTAAGCATCTAAAAAACTATTTTTAAATATTTCTCATTCAACATGTGGTATGAAATAAGTATTTGTAAATTTATTAGTGAGCTCTTACATTGTATTCATTATTTTGTCACATTGAAATGTAAAAAAGGGATCATTTTTACAATTTACTCATTTATTTCGTCACATTGAAAATGTCATTAATAAGGATATTTTTAATTAGATTGACATGTTCATTTCTAACTTGGTCTGGAAGATGTCTATTTTATGTATAATAATAATAATAATTATTATTATTATTATTATTATGATTGATATTTGATCCGATCTTGTCTAAGGCTGAAACCAGACCAATTAAAAACACCCTAAATGTATGAAGATTTCCTAATTTAGATTAGGAATCTATGTCAAAAGTGATGGAAAATCTAAATTGTAGTTGTAAAAATAAAGAAACAACTAAACATGTTTACTTTTTTGCTGGGCTAAACGTATTCAAATATGTATGATATGAATTTTCATTTCCATCCTTATAAAGGTATGATACTTGATCAGAAGTTTTAAATGTTTTCATATATGAATGTCTAATAGTATATATCAATTTCATTTTTAAGTTAAAAAAATCTTGTGGTTATAATTTTCATCATTATCTCAACAATTAAAAAAGAATGGTATGATGATGCGAAAAATACGAAGTATTAACACAATTGCAAATATAAGTCTGATAACTTTAGTCATTATCACATTGAGTTTAGAAAACATTCAAAAAATTGAGTTTAGAAAAATAAAATATTACTCCGTACTTTTTAGGAAATGGAACACTATTATTACTTTATTTATAAAATAACTTTGAAGAACAAAATTGATAGGAACTTGGATGATTTATTTGTTAGGTGCGCAAAACACGAATAATTCACTTCTCAATAGAATGTAATCAAAATAAAAGTATAAAAATAATTAAATTAAATAAAGTCTATGTGCACGGATGACTATTTATTGTTGTGGTTGCAATAATTGCTTATTTTAATAGCAATCCATATTACTACAGAGTAAGTAGTAGATTCTGAAAAAGTTATTAAATAAGGTGGATTTTATCATA